TAATTATCCCAGTCTGATAAGAAAGAACTGTACTGACTTTTGTTAATGTATACTGAAGTGTCAAAAAATTAGAAACAGTTACTTAATATGTACTTTCTCCCTTTATCTGAATAATGGTAGTTATATTAAATGACATTGCTTCTACAAGATGCTGGAGTTGCATAGGTATCTGTCCAGGTATGTTCTAGAGATGTCCATAACCAAACTGCTAATTGTGTACAGCTGCAAAGAATTTAGTGAGGTTTGCAACATATACCATACATCCTCTATAGCATTTAAATCTGGCAGGTGAAGGGGGAGTGGAATACCTGGAAATCAGCTGATAGTTCCTCTAACCAGTTTCATGTCACCTGAAATCAACAGATGGTAGTTATCTCGCTGAAACAAACTATGACAGTCAGGCAAAACAGCAAGCATAAAAAGGTGCAAATTGTTAGAAACAAGATCTGTGCATGTCATACCTCTCAAGAAAGATTCCAGTTTTACAAGTGGTCCTTGCAAACTCTAACATATCCCACACCATTACAGTGTCAACACCAGCTTGCAAAACACTCTGTTGTCAGGTTAGATCCATAACTTCATGCAGTCTGATACACACATAAACTAAACTGTCTGACCAGAAAAACTAAAAACTTGTCTGGCCAGGCATCATGGAACCAGATTTCCAATGGCACTTACATTGAATTGGGATATAATTTGCTGCAATGTTTTCTTTTGTTCTCTATCCTTGTCAGTCACCAGCAGACCTTTTCATGTAAACACCTGCAGACATCTGCTGTTTTCACATACCACTGATGTATGTCCAAAACTTACATACCTCTTTGTTACTGTTGCCTAAGAAAACCTAGAACAGTTGACATCTCCATCTTATGCCTAACACTCACTCCTCAGTTAAACTGTTAATTTCTACCCACATTTCATGGTTGCCACAACTACACTACCACAGCAACCACACTACTTCATGTATTACATCACACATATACTGCTGACTAAAATTATTAGCACAGCCTGATTTATTTTTTTAATTATATTTATAATTATTTTCAATAAATTGAGTAGTAAAAGCAGTAACAAAAACAGAGGTAGTTATGTTGGTTTTCTAAGCATAGCTTAGATGTGGCATAAGGCCAAACGTATGAAGCACCCAGTTAGAATCAAACTCGTTATAAAAAATCTAGGTCAGGTTCTGTGAAGGCCAAGGTAATTTTTTTATATTCTTATCCTGAAGATATTTTTAACTAATTTACAAGAATGTTTTGGATAATTTTCATGAGTAAAGCTCCAAACACACCTCAGTTTAAGATTTCTAATAGACATTTTCAAGTTGACATCCACTATTTCATAGTAATCCTTTTCTTTTCCATACCAAGCTTCCTGTTTCCCTTTGCAGATAAACACACTCAAAGCATGGTATCCCTATTCTTTGTTATAGGGATGGTATTCTTTGGATTGAAACTCTGACCTTGATGTCACCAAAAGTTCTAGTTTTGTCTCATTTGTCATAAAAGATAGCCTTATCAATATATTCATTTGCAAATGCAAAGAGATTTTAAGTGGCTTGCCTTTAGAAAAATGGATTTTACATGGTTAACGTTGCCAATAATTTTCATCAGCAGTGTATGCCATCTACCTCAGTCTGTTTCTTCGAATGATAATGCAGGAGTAGCTGGATGAAAATAAAATCATTTAGTGTACTACTGTTTAATCTTGGGGGCATTTTAGTTTAGTTCACTGGAAGTTTAATACTTTACTAAATGCCTTCTTAATAAAAAGTATGTTCTAATTGACATCTACTCCATATCACAGACCAGCTTGTCACTTTGAAGCAAAAAAGGAAAGGAGTGACTAATAAGAGGAAGAGATGAAACATTAAAAAAATGAATAAAATAACTTCCTGTAATCCTATTCAGCTAGTGATTTATTTTTCCATCCATGCTTCCCTGTATGTTTGTCTTTTGGTAGACAAAGAACTATCTACTATATATCTATCTACTGCAAAGGTACAGATTACTTGCCCAGATGATGATTTCTCTCTGTCAATGTATTGTCAAATTACTAAAATTTACAGCTGCCCTTAGCTTTAATCATGCTTCTTCCACTAACAAATGGAATTGAGTGAAAAGTTTTTTATTCTTCTTGATTAAAGATTAGGTGAAATATCTGAATGCATATGAGTGCAGTATTTTGTTAAAATATAATATGTACCAATTCAAGTAAAGTTTTTTTTTGTTTTTAATGCCAAATTAATTTAAAATTATTATAAATATTTTTCCTAATAAAAGTTAACTTTAATCATTGTAACACAGCTATATGTTAGTTCTCTTTTCTTTGGTTAAAAATAATTTCTGTCATTTGAATTTTTATTTTCACTTATAAAAGTACTTTGAATACTACTAAAACTTGTGAACAACTTATAATACTGAAATTTCAAACAAGAAAATGCATTTTTAGTTTTATAAATTCATTTTCTATAATCTTTTTACTTTTATAATTGTTACTGCTGATTAATTGGTATATAACCAATAATAATCTAAAAAAATTTTTTTTTTTATAATTACATTGAAATGGAGAGGTTTTATGATTTTTGTCAATCTTTTGCTTCTTCTGTACTCTGTTCATGGCAAATCATAGTGTAACTCTTGCTTGAACTGGAGGCCTTTCTTAAATCTCATTGTTCCACTAAGAGTAATGATTTTTAGTTTCATTTTAGCTTTGTGGTAGTTCACTGCTGTAGTTATCTTAAGAAATTTTTACTTTTTACATTGGGAATAACTTTAGCTTATTTAATTGAAGGAAGTATAAGATTTATTTATTTTATTTCCTTTAGACTTGCTATATTATTTTGTTTTCATTGCAAAAACAACCATTTTTTTTATGTGGAATTCATTAAAAAATATAATTTAGGAAATTCTGTTTTGTTACTTGAAAGTTAATTTAACATGTTTTACTTAAGTTAATTTAATATTCTTCTCTATGAAATTTTTTTCACAAAAGCAAATGCACTAATGATAAACTTTATTCATTTTTGAGTATTTTGTATTTCTGTTTAACAAATTAGAAAAGTATTTTGGATTTTTATCACGCTTCATATATTGAAATGTAACATTTTAATTTTACTTGATTTAAGGAAATAATATATTGATGTGATTTTTTTTCTAGTCTTTCTTATTAAAGATGTTACAAAGTCTCTCCCAAGAAAGTTAATTTTAATAATGTCTTGTGTTTAATTTTTAACAAACTTTTCTTTTGAAAACTTTTCTTTAATTTAAAGATAAAATTTAATTGAGTGATATAGCAATTAATTTTTTTTATTGTAAAAGGTATTTTTAATTGTATATTGAATTTTTGATTAGTTTACATTTAAAAAGATAAAATAAGAACAAACATGATATTTTATACTACAAAATTAATGAAAAATCATTTATTAAGAACATTGTTATATAATGTCATAATTAAATTCAATAATTTAGACATTGTAAACACAGTATACAAAACATTAACTCTGCTAATAAACTACACATTTTTAAGAGTTAATTTCTTCCTAGACACTTCTATAATTACAAAATGTATATTTATGACAAAAATAAATCTACAACAATAGTTACTTTATTTCTAAACAACAAAATAAAATAAAAAGTTACTTTCTTGTTTATTTTGTTTCATGTCAGTTTTGCTCCAGAATTCATAGTTCTGATATGGTTTTTGTTTTATTAAAACTGTTTTAAAATGGATAATTAATTCAAAGATTAAAATGTACATAATATTTAGTACACCCTTCATAATGGGGTGGAAAATGATGGACCCAAAGCTCTGCTACATTATATATTAATTGTAATAAAACCTTAGTAAAAAAAAATATACCAATACAAAGAGGATTCATTATTCATCCCAAATTATGTTCTTAATCTCTACTTTTTTTTCTTTGAATTTCTTAAGCTCACAACCCAAAACAAAACTAAAAATCTTTGCTCCCAGTGGAACAATGAGATTTGAGATAGGTCTCCAATTCTGGGATGAGTTGCACTATAACTCGTAACTTGTAAAGAACATCATGATTCTGTTTCATTTTTAGTATCAGTCCAAATGCTGGGTACTTCTCTTTCTTTTTCTCATGTACATATTCACAATATTAGCATTTGTCTTTTGTTCCCTTTAACAAATATATATTGTTAACTTCTAAATCTTCCTATTCCTTTCAGATTTGTTGAATTTCTCAATCATTTCTAGCTGTTGTATGAATTCCATGAAAACATTCAAAAATATGGTTCCTAACTGAAGCTGCACAGGAATTTTGTATTGATGTTTTTCATTGTATAATCTTTCAATAATTCTTATCTGTATCAACTTCTATAGTCAGTTCTTCATTCACAATTTTTTCAAAATCCTAGTACCAGCTAGTCTCTCTTAGTCAGTGTAGATATTTAATGACTTGTTCACTGGGCTCTTGTTTCATGGACATAAATTTTGTCTACTCTATCATGACCAAACTTTTTTTTTTGGTTGTATGTCTCTTAATATAACCTGACTTATTTTCTAAGTCAGGTGTTCTAATTTCAGGGGATGGGCTATTTTTTAAACTTTTCTGACTGCCTCGACTCCTACAGTCACCATAAAAAGATCCATTATCACCCCACCCCACCCCGCTTTCAATTTGTTATCTTTCAACTACTTGATTCTAGTACCTGCCTCAAAGCACCTCAATCATGTCTCCAGAAAATCAGGATCTTCTAGGGCCAATCATCCTCTTGGCGACACCATTGTCATGATGTGTAATAGTAGTATTCACAAGTTACTCACAATCGCTACTGATGAATTAATATTTATTAATGATTAAAATACAGTAAATAAGGCACATGGCCAAAAGTGGGAGTGGGGAAGTTGGTGATCATCTGTTCTATCTTTAACTTAGCTAGTCACAATCACTGACTCAAGCATTTGTTAATAATACAATTACCATAACATCACATTCTTATTTACCATTCTCACTACAATCATGGGTTTACAGCCATATCACATTGAAACACCAGTTCCCTTATGATCACAGAAGTTAAGCAACATTGAGCCTGGTCAGTACCAAGATGGGTGACTACTTGGTAATACCAGGTGCGGTAACCTTGGGTATGCATGGATAACGGCTCTGATTTATTAATCAGAGAGCCGAGTTCTAATTCTGGTTGGGTTTGTTATATTCACTTACATGCAAATACCCTTAGGAAAAATATGAATCCACCTCTTCTCCCCCCAGCTATGGTTTAATCACTAAAACAATTATTATCTAAAAAAAAAAATAAATAAATTGTGTACAAAATATTTAGATTTTGGCATTAAATAACCCATAGAGGTTGATATGACAACCAGCCACTACAGTCACCAAAATATCATAATTTCTCCATGAAGTCCCAACTAGTTCCCATATATACAATTTTTTTTTTTTTTTGGTTGGTTGGTTGTTGGTTGGTTGGTTGGGAATAACAACTTTTAAAACTCTAACCCCAATGTCTATTTACAATCTCTAGACTTACTATTTACAGAAACCAAAGAAAAATAGTGTTAGTAATAGAAGCCCCACACAGTCCTGTATGTGGCAAAAATAACAGTTCATCAGGCAAAATAATGCAAGACTAGATAATAATTAATTCACTCTAAAAAGCTCTCACACAATCATACACTCATCCAAAACACAATAACAAATACAAAAATCACACATGAAAATTATAGAGTCCCAGCACACACTAAAATCTGGCATTTTTACCACCAAATGGGGGTGGGGGATGGAAAGGTGGATTAAACTAAAGAATAAAGAGACAAAAATAAACAGGTCAATGAGCATATATACACTAAGTTCTGATGCAGTGAGTTGCTTCTTTTCGGTTCTGATCTTGACTTTAAGCTGATCTTTAAAGAACCAGATCAGTTGGGAAGAGTTAAATGTCTCAGCTGCATGGAATTCCTTCTGTCTCATTGTCCATATCACGACTCGCATAATACCTACAAAGCACAAGGTCACATAGTGTTCAATCTTTCCCGGTAACAGTATAACATTGCTACAGACAAAAGTGTCCTTGTAAACAATGAACTTTCCACACAGTATGAGGACCATGAAGCCTTCAACCAGTTTGAGGAGAAGGCATGTTCATTGGACCCCTCCATTACTGCAACACACTCATTCCAGCATAACTGCTAGTCTTGCTGAACAAAACTTCTTGCTGACCCAGAGGATACTTCAAAACACAAGCTAGGTGAGTGAGACATTTCAACCCAAGGTCATAGAGAGCAAAATTTTTGCTTTGTTGAACAAGCTTGTCCATCAGATCATTACAAATGCCCCCACTCAACTAAGTAATACTTGATATGTCTTCCAAGACAACAGACAGAGAGGCTAGACTTCGCTTGTAAGAAGGAACCCAGAATGTTTTGGCATTCATGATTGAAAGAGCATTCATCACTGAAAAGCTGAAAATGCTTTACAGACATCTTCCTTCCAGAATTGTTGTTCCCATCATTTTGCACACACATCCAATCTAGGAAGCTAATGCATAACGTATATTGATGCATCTCAACCCTCAGCATACCTAGACCACCTTCAACAAGTTGAGGAAACATGGAAAGCCAATAAAGAAGGATGGAGTAGATGTGCAAAGCACAAACTTCTCCCTTCCTCTTTAAGGAAAGATTCTTCAGAGACCACAGACAAACGGCAGTTTTGGTCTTCTCCCAAACTTCCAACAAATTCATTTCCAACTGGATGTCAGGGTCAAACCAGATGCCAAGTATCTTGCAAAATTAAAGGAATAGCTCAGATAGAGAAACTCCCTTCCACCCAACCAACTACAAGCCTAAAACAGGCCAACATGAGAACAGCCTCCAAGAAATGATGGTTGAATGCCTTCATCATCATCATCATCATCATCATCACCATCAGTCCTTTGACTGCTTCAATCCTCAGGGACCTGAGGGCAGAAGAAACAGACACATTCTTCTTCCTCATTGTCCTCTCAGTGGGATCTCAGATAGCTTGGCAGAGCCCATCTCTTCTTGCTATTGTCAGTCAGAGTTACTCCTTCAAATTGAATATGGGCAGGGATAGAACACTGATGACCTATCCCATTGACTCTTGGCCCATCTCAGTTTTGATGCTACTGTCTTGGGTGATGCCACTCATGCTTCAAGTGAACCTTAGTTTTAAAGCTCTATAAAAGGAGAAGTGAATAAAAACTAGGATCCTCTTAGATTAGAACTGTTTTAACAGTTTTTTGTTGTGTTTTTTTGCGATTTGGAAGAGTCTGTTAGCCTCCTCAGCTATCACCCAAATCTACCATGCTCCCAGACTAGCTCTAATTACCATTAAAATGATTTGGGCATGCAGAAAGTTCATGAGTTCTTATGTCTTTGTCTTTAATTTTTTGAATTGATAGCATATATTTTAAGTTTTTTAATTTTTTTTTTTTCCCCATATTCACAAGGTCTTTGAACTTGTTCTGGAGACACACAACAGTCATCTTCCTCCAAATTGTACAGTGCTTGGGAGATCTCTTCTCCTTTGTGTCTACCAAGGGACTTCTCTGCCTCTTTTTCTAATTTTGAGGGAGATGAAGGAGGGGACAGGAGTAGGAAATTTCTTGTAGGGATTGGGATCATTTGACAAGGTGGTAAGCTTGGAAGAGTGAAATGATTTTTGTCATTAGCAAGTGCTAATAGTTGGTAGAAACCATGACAGAGGCTAAAAAGCAAGCTGCCCCCCACTGGTGCCAAATTCTTTTTACTGTTTAGTCTGTGGTTATGATTTTAATTTCTTTAAATTTTCCATTTTCATGTTACCAAGGTCATTTTTTGTCTGAGCTTCTTCAACTTAGCTGCATAAGAAACTGGGGTATCACCCTTACAACTGATCTTGGGAATGGAGCTGTTTGTGTCATTATCCAGGAGGATTCAGGACACTGAGGTATCATTGTCTGGTGCTTCCCTCTGCTTCCACCAACAATTGTGTATTCCCCTTGTTCCTTTTCCAAATCCACACTTATTGCAGGTGAAGGGGTATCAAGGAATGTAAATTCCAAAAAGGGATTTTACCACACCAATTCCAGCCACTAGCACGCCCACTACAGGTGTTACAGACTTACCAGTATCAGCCAGAGGGAGATTTTGGTTGACAGGGGAGCAAACTCCAGAGGTTTTATTCTGTGGGTAGGAAGGGATAAGATGACCAGTCTTGCTACACTTCCAGCAAGTTGGTTTTGGTTCAGTAATTTCCAACCCCCAACATCCAGACAGTTGGAAATGAAGGTGAAGGCTTGCTTGTCCAAAATTATATTGAAGTCCCACTTCTTATGCATGGGGTCTGAGGAAACCTCTAAATACTTTCTCATACTGAGCCAAGTATACTCCCTTCAGAAAAGTGAAGGCCTCAAAGACTGCTAAATAATCTAGGTCTTCTTTAGTACACCCTCTTGAAGATGAGTCCTTTTGTTATTGGCTTTTTTTTCACTATGGTCTCACACTTCTTTGGCATAGGTAGCAGAAAGTCCCATTTAACAAAAGCACTGCCTTTGATGATTCGTAATAAATTACTTCCTCAGATTAAATTTAAAAAATTATCTCTGAAATCCCTTGAGATTAAGTTGCTTGTATAAAGACCTATCCTTCAGATTAACATGGTTTCTTAAGCAGAATAATTTTGGAGGATAGGCTCCTGAAAAATACAGTCAAGCAAGCCACCGAACCATATGAGTCATCACACATTTTTAGAAGAGTTACCAAAACTAAAGATAACAAATTCATTCATTGGTGATTTTAAATGAAGAATAGTTTTTGAGAACCAGGTTAACAGAATTCCATCAAGTAGCAAGCTGACCATGTGCTTTCCAGAGCAAAGCAGAAGATATCAAATTGAAATTGTACCACTGTATCATTAGGAACAAGCTTAAAGTTTGAGTTCCTTATATATAAGTGCACAACACACTTCCAACCAAACCATTCAAAAAAGGATGATTGTATCTATCATCATCATCTGTAAACAAGCACTTCAGAGTTCAAATCACTGTGTACTGCTCTCAAGCATTATAACTGGGGAAAAAGGAAGTTACTAGTTTGAAACCTATGTAGTTAACAGCTCAAACTCCATTTTGTTAAAATCTTGTAAACCTGACTATTAACTGTAGTTTTGTGACAAATGGTTAGCTTGAACTTACAACATTTCAACCATTAATTTTAAACTTCTTCAAAGGTTATCTAAACACAATATGAGTGGCGGTGTTTTCTGTCCAATATGTATCCAGATTAATGACCAGGATAACTGGTTGGTACTCATGAAAATATTGTTATATCTGATGCAAAAACAAAGTATTCTTGGCCTTGATGTTACCATATTTTGTGCTGCATTTAGTTTCCAGAATAACAAGCCACTCCTCCTCCTCAACTATAGAGTTTTAACATAACGTTTGTATAGTAATACTGTCACTCAGTTTCAAAGTTTAGAAGTTAAAAAAAATGAATCCCTATAAAATACTAAATAGAAATTGCATGATGAAATGATTCTTGGTTACTTAGAGAAATGACATGTTGATAGGACTGATATCATATTCAGATCTATAAAATATCATTTTAACATTTTCATGCAATTGTAGATTTGCTGGTAAAAACTGAAAAGGCTAAAAAATCTTTTTGTGATTAATATTAACAACTGAGCAGAATCCTGTTTAAGAAAAAGTTTAAATTTTTCACATTTCCTTGGCAAATAGATTATCAAGAGACAATCATTTTTTCTCAGCTATTCTTACTTATAAAGTGACTTTTTTAAAAAAAACTAACTTATGGCATTTAATTTTGCTCTCAGTGAATGAACCAATGAAGATTGAGCACAGAATTTATGACTTGTCATTACACTGTGAATGAAGCATCAGTAATTATAAATAAGGAAAAACACTAAAAAATTATGTTAACTTAAAGAGTTTGAAGTGTATTAAAAATATCATAATCTGAAAATATTTTCTCAGTAGGTTGTTAAAACAGGAACTTTTATCCTTATCTTGCCAGATTCCATCAGATTTATAGAGCTTGAATAAATTATGTTGATCTTTGGAATTATATTTGTTAAATAAAGTTATATTATGTT